AGCTCCAAACTCCAGAAAGAATAAGAGGTGGCTCAGAGAAGGGTCAGAGAAATATGAGGAGCCCAGGGACCCCAGCAGCAGGTGCCCAGGCTGAAACTCAGGGGACTGGGGGCTTGAATGGAGGGGGAACCCAGGGAGGCCTGCCCCGCCAGGCCGGGGGAGCCAAGGGCATGGGTGAGGTTTCCAGAAAGTGTGTGCACAGTAAGAAGGGGGGGGCTAAGGGGCAGCCTTGAAACACACCCCACCAGGACGAAGGAGAGCCCCTTGCGCTGAGGCTGGGGAGGGGGGCCGAGCCGGGTCAGCGGGGTCACACTCTGCCAGCGGGGAAGCTGCCCCTGGGTGCGCAGGGAGGGCCGCTGATGACCTGGTCTGGGGCCGCGGGTGGCCAGGAGGTGGGGGCCGGATTGCAGTGGAGGACGAAGTGACTCGGAGGAAGGGACATGCAGGTACGGAGCGGAAATGGCTCTCCAGAAGTTTGGCTGAGAAGCCGAACATCAGCAGCTGGGAACAAACACAAAGTTGAGGCAGGAATTTTGTCAAACTTTTTCCAAGTTTTTGCACAAATGTCAGTCCGGCTTATCCCCAGGAAGGCGGAAAGGGTGCCTTCAGGCCTGCCCCCACCCCCTGCACTCGCAGCAGCCGACTGCAAGGCACCGAAGCGCGGGGGCATTTCTGGGGGGCGGGGGCACTGCCTGCCGCGGTGGGGTGGGAGTATTGGATCCCCGATGTTGTTCAGGATTGCCGGTATGTGGTGAGGATGACAGAGAAGAGAAAGCAAACTGACAGTTTGTCATTTTTATTCTTGTTTTTAAATTCTTCCAGACAACACGAGCTTTCTTGCCTGCCCCCGGCCGGGCTGCTCCTAGCATCAGGCCCTCAGCGTGGCACCAGTGGAGAGGGGCAGGCGGGGCGTCCCCAGGAGCCGGCGTGCTTCCTGGTCCCTTCACATTCCAGTCACCTGGTCGAGGGCAAGTTCCTCGCCTGGCCACGCGTCCGTGCCCTTTGGCTTGCTGTAGCTGAGGTGAACTCTGACAGGTCAGGGCGGTGTAGGGAGAGGGAGAGAAGGGGGAAGCACCCAGCGCCTGGCACACGGTGGGTACTTACTAAGTGTCCTTTTGGAGTCAAGGAACAGAGAAGACAGTGACTGGTGTTGCCCGCCCCCTCCCAGCCCCCACTAGAGGAGCAAAGCCCAGGGCAGGTACCTGGGGGATTTGTCCTGGGTGGGCAGGGCTGGTGGGTGTGGGTGACTATCCTTGGGGCCACCCAGATGCACCTCTGCCCCGCAAGGTTTGGCTGGACTAAAGCAGTGACTGTTGGAAAAGGCTTCCCCGTAGCCTCAAAGGCCAGGCCCGTGGGCCACCTCCACCCTCCCCGCCGGTCCCTGAGGAGCCGCCCTGCCTGGGCCGCAGGGGGCAGTTGTCATGGGGACGCTGGGCCTGCTGAGCTGCCTCCTTAGCAACGGGACTCAGAGGCCGGTTCCCATGGAAACAGCATCCACTCGGCCGTCAGTGATGAGGACCGGGTTCCCTGCCCTTTCCGGAGGACTTCCCCTCCTCCCTCAAGGGGCCGCACAGCAGGCAGTCCCCGTGCGCAGAGCCGGGAGCCCCAGGGACTTCGCTGTTCCAGCTGCCGATGGCTGCCTCTCCCCCATCTGACCAGGTCGCGGGGCTTGGGGGGGACCCCCTGCGGCCCCGGGGGGAGTGAGGGCAGCCATCTGAAGGCTTCCCAGAGGGTCTGGGGGCCAAGCCCAGGGCCCCCCGCCGGCCCGTCAGGAGGGAGTGGGTGCCCCACCTCCTAACAGCGAAGCCGCCCATCCCAGAGTGTGCCCTCAGCTTCCCCAAACTGCTCAGGGGCCCAGCAGCTGTGTCCCACCGCTGGCCACTGTGAAGCCCTCTGTCCTGGCCATGACACCCTACCCCCACCCGGTCACCTTTGGTTCCCCAGCCACCCTCCAGTTTCTGAGGGCCCATCTTCAGTACCCCAGTGGAGTCCACGTGCACAGTGACCGTCCTCCTTCCCCTTCAGGGAGCACCAAGGAGTCCCAGCCCTGGCAGCTGGGGTGGGCGGGGGTTGAGTCAGGGTCTCATAGCTCCACCAGCTGACAAAGGACACACACACTCACTCTCTCTCTCTCCTCCTTAATGACTCACCAGCCCATGAACAGCGCACGCCTGCAGCCACAACCAGCCCTCTTCACGCGGCCTCGCACCTTTGCTCCCCTACTCTTGGGGACACAAGCTTGTGCCCCCAAGTGCCCCCATGTGCTCTAGGGGCCGTGTCCCCTCACCCACCACAGCCTGGCTCCTGAGCCTCCAGCGTACCCCACTGACCTTACTCTCTGCTCCCAATCCCAGAGCCTTGGAAGAAGACAGCATCTGCTGGAATTTTTTTATTTAAATAAAATATACAACACGGTGCATTTACCGTTTTCTGTTTTAAAAGTGGCAGATTTGAAAATTGCTTGGGGGGGGTGGTTGGGGATGGGTGGGCCCACTGACTGGACCTGGCTTCCCCAGTCTCTGAAGAGTGGCTGGGCTGGGTCAGAGCTTTTATAAAATGCGTGCGTGTGTGTGTGCGCGCGCACGCGTGTGTGCGTGAAGACGGTGGTGAGGCCAGGCCCTGATGGCAAGGGGAGTGGTCCTCAAGCCTCATGCCCCTGCAGCCTCCACCCCTGCTCCTCTCCCCTCCCCACCCCCCTCCAGGACTAGACAGGCTTTGGATCAAGTCCTGCCGCCTTCCTAGAGGGGGGCAGCGGTGTGTGCACAACTCAGGCTGAGGCTGCCACTTAAATCCTTCCTGCTCTGAGAACTCCCTGGGCCCAAGGGGCATCCTCCTGCCCACTGAAGACCCCAGCCAGGTGCCTAGTCTCTCCCCAAGATCCCAGGATCCTTCACCACCTTCTCTCCTGGATGGCTGTCTCCCTCTCCCTGTGGCCCATCCATGGAGATACTGGCCTGCCCCACATCCCAGGATGACTCAGGACCAAATCTGATCTTGACTTCATTCCGGCTGGAGCATGGAGGGGGTTCTGGTTGGACAAAGTGGGACCAGCCCTCCCCACTCTGCAGGTCTCGGCAGCCAAACCTGCTCCCGCCCAATAGACAGGTGGAGTCAGACCACTAACCTTGGCCCTGGCAGAGTCTGGCTGGGGAGGAGGAGTGTGCCTCAGGAGGCATCTGAGCTGCTTTCACATTGGCCCCCCATTCTGAACCTGCTTCCAGCTCCCAGGTGCCTCCAGAATCAAGGCCAAAGCCCTCAGGCTGCCATCCAACGCCTCTGGATCTCCACCCAAAGCCCTGACTCTACACGTAGGCACCCACCTCAGCCCCGTCCTCACCGTGAACTGCATCCCACCCCCGCTCCCCTTTCCTCGCCTCCCCGCTTCTCTTTCCTGCCTCTCAAGGCCTGGCTCAAGCCCACCACTGGCCACAGGAGGCCCTGCAAGGAGGCCCAGCCACCTCCTGTGTCCTGAGATCATAAGGTCCTGGAGCCCTCAGCCAAAGTTCTTTGGGCTCTCACCACAGCTTGTTGGAGCAGTGGGCTGGGCACATGAGGAGGGGGCAGAAGAAACTTGATTTATTGAGCACCTACTACGGTGTGTGCCAGGCGCTAGGCTGGGCATTTCACATCTGCTACTTTTCTCATCTGGTCCTCATAGGTCCTTGTGAGGCGGTACCATAATTATTCCCATTTTACAAATGAGGTAACAGACTCAGAAAGGTCAAACAACTAGCCCAAGGTCATAGAGCTACGAAGTGGCAGGGCTGGGATTTGAACCCAGGTCTGATTCCTTCCAAAATCTGGTCTCTTCCCACAGCACTCAGTCCCTTTCAACAGTTGCTTCTGGAAGGGACATAGGATTTGGCCTCAGGCAGGCATGGATTTAAATCTCCAATCAGTCCTGGCTCTGCCACTCCTAGTTACATGACTCTGGAAAAATTGCCCCAAACTCAGTGTCCTCATCTGTGAAACGGGGAGAATCAAAGGACCCACCTCATGGCCTTTGTGAAATTGAAGGAGCTAATGTGTGTAAAGTGCTAAACCAGTGCTTGGCACAGAGCAGACTCAATAAACAGAATTTCCCCTCACCTCCCACTGTACAGATGGGAAAATGGAGGGCCCCAGGAGGTGACAAGATGTGCTTGAGGCCCCACAGGGAAGGAGGGGTCTTCTGCTTCTGTGTGGGGAGAGGTCGGGCCAGGACTGGATTTGAGACCAGAGATGGAGAGAAAGGGAGCCTGCTGAGAGGTCCTGGGGTCCTCTTCCCTGAGGACCGGAGAGAACATCTTCCCCAGACCCTGTGGTGCCCAGCCAGAGGGCCAAGGCGGGCTGCGGGATGTAAGGTGCCCTGGGCGTCCTGGCGACGTGGGGTTAAAAGGTGCACACACGTGAGTGGCTATCTACATGGCTCTGCAGGGCGCTACATAGCTATACACATTTTACATACATATACATATTCATATTCATATACATAGCTTGCTAAGTTTGCAGTAGAAAAAAAATGCAAGACTCTCAGGGCCCTGGCCCCGTTTTGTCTCAAGGACTCAGGTGACTGAGGCTCCCCAGGAACACATCCAGGGGCAACCCCTTCCTGGGGGGAACAGCTAAGGGGCTGGTGGTGACTATTGCCCTAAAACGAACACAATAACAGACCTGCTCTAAGAAACCCCAAAGGTGGGTCACCCCCACGCCCGGCCCGTCAAGCCCCAGAAACCCCCACCTGCATTCTTCTGGCTTTTGCCTTTGGGCCCTGCCTGCCTCCCTGCCCCCTCCCTCCCTCTAGCGCTGAGTATTAAAATAGTCTATAAAAGCAAGTGACCAAAAATCTATAGCTCTAAGAATACCTGGTTATTTTCTGCTGTCTTTTGTTTTTCTGGTGTGGGTTTTTTTTTTTAATGATAATTATTATTGTTATTGGTATATCTCCTAATCACAGTTAAACCTGAAGGAAGAAAGAAGGGAGAAAAAAAGAAGAGAGAAGAGGGAGGGAGGGGACCCGCTCATAGATTGGACGGCAGTTTGGAGCGCACTGGCTCAGCCCTGGCCCCAGGTTCCCTCTGGGGGGCAGCAGTCAGAGGGGGCCCCCCAGAAGAGGCGGCTCTTGCCCCAAACAAAGAAAGAGGGGGTGGCAAAGAACCTGAGGATGTCTTCCGAGGCAGAGTGACATGCTGGCCGGGGAGGGCACCATAGGGCCTCCCCGGGGGACCGAGGCCCCCGCTGCCCCCGCTAGCGCCGCCAGCTCTGGGGACGATTGGGAAGGCGGCCACGGACTCCCCCGAGGAGTGCGGAGAGGCTCTGCGGAGAGTCTGCGCCCCGTCCTGGGGCAGGGCCGGCTGGGAGGCTGAGATGAGCTTGAGGTCCTGGGTGAGGCGGCCCGGGGTGAGCGGTGGCGTGCCCCGGCGCTGGGGGACCTGGGGGGCCGGGGGGCTGGAGGCGGGCGGCAGGAGCAAGGAACCGTGGGAGCCGGAGGCCCGAGGGGGGGCACTTGGGAAAGTTCTTGGGGGGCCGGGGCTGTGGCCCGGCGGGCTGAGACCTCCGCGGGGGGGAAAGGCTACGGGAGAAGCCCCCCCGGGGGCCCCCGCCACGAAGGACGGCAGCTCAGGTTGCCGCGGGGGCGTCTCTGGCGTACTTGGCGGGCCGGCGGCCAGCTCCCCGGGAGGCTGGCCCAGCTGCCCGGGGCTGGCCGACGGGGACCGGGAGGAGGGCGGGGGCGGCAGGAAGTGCTCCAGGAGTCCCAGGCCCCCCCGCGCCCCGGGCAGGGGGGGCGGCGGCTGGTTGGCCTGCGGCGAGCGGGCGCCGGGCTGCAGCGGCGTGAGCAGCGGAGAGTCGGACGAGGACAGGGAGCCGCCCAGCGCCTTGTGGAAGTGGCCGAAGCCGGCGGCCGCGGCGGCAGGGCCGGAGGCAGAGGGCGTGGGAGCCGGGGATGAGCCGCCGAGCCCGGGCGGCGGGGAGGAGCCGGACGAGGGCAGGAGCGGGCTCAGGCCGGCGGGCGCGGAGAAGCCGGCCAGCTGCTGGATGTGGAAGGAGGAGGAAGACGGCGTGTCCACCTGCGACGGGCTGCTGGCGGGCGAGGCGGAGCCCAGCGCCGACGGGATCAGGGACTGCAGCCGCTTCAGGTGCCTGGGCGTCTGCCCCGCCCCGAGGCCGCCTAGCCCGGGGCCGGGGGGAGGGCGGAAGATGGCGGCGGGCAGGCGGGGGTGGTGGGTGAGCGCGATGGCCACCGAGGTGGTGGCCGCGGCGGCCTGCAGCGGCGCCTGGATCAGCGGGGTCCAGATGACCGGCGTGGGCGTCGGGGTGGCCGAGGCGGCGGCCTGGACGCGGTGAGCGCAGTGGGCCATCTCGCGGTCATGCTGCACGATCTGCTGGATGATCTCGTTCTCCTGGTAGTTGAAGACGCCTGAGTTGAGGTCGTGCTGGACTTTGTGGAGGAGGATGGAGTTCTTCTTGCCTGGGCCACGGAACCAGAGCAGGGGCTCAGGCCGGAGCGGGAGGCGGGGTGGGGTGGGGTTGGGGGGTAGAGAGGGTCCCCCTCCCGGCTGCCGCCCTGCCCGGCCCCTCACCAATGCGGTCGAGGCGGTCCAGCGCCACCGTCTCGAAGGCCCGCCGCATCATGGGGTACTCCTCCAGCACCTCGTTGAAGTTGTCCACGCTCAGCGAGTAGAGGCGACAGTAGGTGTCGGCCCTCACGCTGGCCGTGCGCCGACCCCGAGTCAGCAAGCAGATCTCTGCCAGGACAGCGGGAGTGGGGAGGGGGGCTCGACGGGGCCTCCTGCTCGCCCCCTTACCTGGGTCCCCACTGTCTGGTAGGGAAGCTTGACGGTCACAAGGCCCCATCCCCAGCGGTGACCACGCTAGATGCCCCCAAGTGCATGCCAGGCTCTTTCCCGGCTCTGGCACCCCCACGCTGGGCCACAGACACCCACTTCTGGGCAGTGGGCACAAAGGGCCCCAAACTTCATCCTCGGTGTCTCTCCAGCCCATTCCCCTGTCCCCCTAGAGTTCCCTGAGCCACCTCACCTCCAAAGTAGGAGCCGTCTGCCAACTTGGTCTCCTTGTTGCCCTTGGTGAGCACACTGACCACGCCGTGCTGGATGAAGTACATCTTCTTGCCAATGGTGCCTTCACGGATGATGTAGTCCCCAGGCTGGAAGACCTCGAAGCGCAGCTTGGTCAGCATGGAGGTCACGAAGTTGGGGTCCGCATTGGCAAACAGAGGCATGGAGGCCACCAGCTTCCGGCAGTTGAAGTTGATGATCTCCTGCTCCCCAGACAGGGTGCATGGGCAGAGAGGGAGGAGGTGAGAGAGCTGCCCAGTGGGAGGCAAGTTCCCCTCCCCGCCGCCGCCCCCCCCCCCCCCCCCGCCCGCCCGCCCGCCGCTGGCTCACCTCCCTCAGCGGCTCGCTCAGCTCGCCCAGGATGCTCTCCTCGTCGAACATCTTGCCCTGGTAGCGGTGCTCATAGTAGTCGTGGATGCGCTGCCGCGTGTCGGGCGGGAGCTTGTGGAAGGACATGTACTGCTCCACCTGCTTGTACTGAGTGCAGGGAGAGAGGGAGAGGGCGTCAGCTCCCGAGGGCCTCGGCCCTGCTGGTGACCAGAGCTGGCCCGGACCCTGTGGGCCTTCTTGGCCCAGCCTGGCTCCCCGACGCTGAGATCCTTGGTGTGGGTGTGCCCCCAAACCATGGCCCCGACTCCCAGCTGCTTGGGGCGGGGGAGGGGCTCCATCAGAGTGCTCAGGGCCCTGGAGATGGCCGGGGATGATAGGGGCTGTCCAAAGCCCCGTTCCAGGCCAACCGACCAGGAGCCCATCAAGTTTCCTCTGCACATGGGTCTTTTCTGTGTCACACTGGATCAGAGAGGCCTCACTGGCCTTGGAGGAGCTCTTTGCCACCAGCAGTCACAGGGTCTGGGCAGCAGGGTTGGGCTGCAGTGGGTTAGAGGGGGCCAGAGGCTGAAGTCAGGATGCCTGACCCATCATAGGCTGTGTATCCAAACATGGCCCCCCAGCTGGTTCCAAGTCATTTTGTTGAAGAGTGACGCTAGCCCACGGGAGGACCAGAGTAGAACAGGGTCCTTCATCAGAGGTTGGGGATAAGAGATTTGTAAGCCTAAGTGCCCAGGGCTCAAGCAAATATGAAATGCTCCCATCCACCCAGGGGTGAAGGGTGGGTGCTGCTCCAGCCGTCCCGGGACTGTGGGTGCAGAGTGGGGGTCCACAGGGGCACGCTAGGCAGAAACAGATTAGGCAAGAACAGAGTTTTCCCACACTGAGATGGAAGGGAAGTTCCTATATCCCGGGAACAAGCAGAAGAGGGGAGCCTGTTCTCACACATTGGTGCTCCCAAGAGGTGGGGACAGAGTGCGGCTGCAGACAGATGCCAGCAGGCAACCGAGGGCTGGGAGATGAAGTTTCTGTCGTTCTTCCAGCCAAACTGGCTCTGTCTGCTCGAGGTTGTGCCCAGCCCCAGGAGACAGGGACTTCCCTGCTGGCTATGGGGACAGGGGCAGTCAGAACAGCTAGAGCTGTATTTTAGAGAATTCCCCACACCTGGAGCATCAATAATGGTGGGGAGGCAGGGTCTGGAGATGGGGCGGGAGCTGGAAGCTTATTGAAGTGATCCAGGCGAGAGCTAGTAGTGGGGACCAAGGGGAGGCAATACATTTCTGAGAGATTTATGGGTGAATCATATTGGAGAGCCATTAGCTAAAGAACGAAATAAAGACAATTCTCAAATGGAAAGTCACAAGCAGCTTGACTCTGCCCTCGAATGAACACTGGTGCTTTTTCTAAACTATCCCTGATTGTAGTCCCCCATCCTCATCCCACACGGAGCCCTGACCCTGGTCTCACACTGAGTCCTGACCTGGTCACAGGCTGGGCACTGACCCGGGCCCACACTGATCCCTCACCTGGCGCTGGACTAAGCCCTGGCCTTTATAACCTGACTCCTCTCCTCCTTCCCCTTTCCAGCCCCTCACTCCTAACCCAGGAGCCTTTGTTCTAATGAGGCTGATTTCTTGCCCACCCATCTGCATACACCTTGGTCTTGCTCATCATGATGACTAGCCTAGAATTCTCTTCTACCTTCTCCTTCCTCTGCCTCCCCAAACTGCCCCTCCCACCCTGCCTTGGCCTTGCAGACTCTCCTGACCTCTCCTTTTGGCAGCATGGGACCTGGGCCTCCATGTCTTGGTCACCCCACCAAGGGACAGCACCTGGGGCAGGCAGGCAGCCAGTTAATCAATACACACTGAGTCCTGCTATGTGCTGGACACCGGGAATTCAACGGGGAGACATAGACCTGGGTCCTGCCCTCACGGAGTCACAGCCTGGACGGGCAAGATGGACGCTAAACAATGGACCACACAGAGGACGTAAATACGGCAGGAGTTCCGACTGTGGTGAAGGGGAATCAGAGGGCACCATAGGGTCACAGAAGGCTCACCAAGGTGAAGTGCAGGCTGAGAGGTGGAGAAGTGGTCGGGTGAAAAGGAAAGAGGAGAGTTCCAGGCTAGTGTCTGTGCCAAGGCCCTGTGGCAGGAGGACACGTGCTGGGGGGTGGGCAGGCCGGGCGAGGCTGGAATGGAGGGCTGTGGGCCCATGGCATGATCTGGGCATGAGAAGGGCAGGGGCCAGATTATGCCCCTTAAATGCCAGGCTGAGGAAACCCACCTTGGAGTCCCTCTGCATCTATGAGTAACGTGAAGACTCTGACGAGTTTTAAGCAGGATGATATGATCAACTTTACATTTTTTAAGTGCCTGCTCTAATCTGCCATGCAGAGCATGGCGTAGAAGGTGGCAGACGGAGCCCACTTAGCCAATAAATATTGACTGTCCTGCTCTGTGCTCACACAGTCTTGGCGGTTGGCACGTATTACTCACTCCTCATAAACCCCATGATGTGACCCCTTCTACGTACTGTCTCCATCTTACAGATGAGCAAACGGGGCACAGAGATGGGAAGTAACACGCCCACGCTCCACGGACAGCCGGTTATATCATCTGGGCCCCACTGCCCAGGGAGAGCTAGAAGGACCAGCCAGAGGGGGAGGAGGAAAGCCGAGAGTGTGCAGTTAACAGAAACCAAGCGCCGAGCCAAGAAGGGAGTGGTAACTGTCAAATGCCACTGAGCTGCTGAGCGAGCCATCGGCTTTAGCAGTGCACAGGGCACTGGGGAACTTCAGTTCAACGGGCTGAGCCATGGATTCAGCAATCCTAAGCAACATGGGGGTTTGTTTGTTTTAGGAACTTGTCCATGAAAAAGAGGCAGACAACAGAAAAATGAGCAGCCGAGGCCAGATGATGGTAGAGGACAGAACACGTCGGCCCCCCCCCAGACCCACCGGCTGCCAGCCTGTTTTCCCTGGGGGTCACGGGACAGGTTCTCCTGAGACAGCCCAGGATGGACCACAACTTTCCGCCCTACCTTTTCCTGGTACTGGCGCCGGGAGGAGTCCAGGGACTGGATCAGGGCGGTGGCGTGGCCGATGAACATGGCATAGCACGTGGCGCCCACAATCATGCTGAGCATGGTGAGCCAGACATCCGACATGCCCACAGGTGCCTGCCGTCCATACCCGATGCACAGCATGTGGCTCATGGCCTTGAAGAGGGCATAGGAATACTGCTTTCCCCAGGAGTTGTTCTGTGGACAGATTATGGGGTGGGTAGTGAATGGCCGCCCCCTCACTAGCAGCTGGAAAGGTCCCTGCCACCTCGCACCCCTCAACCTAACTTTTTCCCAGTGGCTGAGGCCAGGGAAGGCTTCCAGCCTTGCTGCTGGCTGAAAGCCTTGGGTGAGGGGCAGGAGGCCCATGCTGGCGACCTGCGGTGACAGCGGATCCCTGACTCAGGCCTTTCTCTTGCTCTGGGGGACACGGATCAGGCTAGAAGCCCCAGCAAAAGGAGGGTAGCCAGCCTCGCCCCCCTCTGACTTCTCAATCCCCATGGGGCCTCCTGGAGCCCCTACAAGCAGCCAAAGGCTCCAGGCTGAGCCACCCTGCTGTCCTCCACTTGCTGAAATAGCTCCATCCCCCCCACCAAACTTCTACCAAGTGAAGCCCATTTCCCCACTGACCTCAATTATAAAACCAAATATGCTTCCCCTGGGGGGACAGGCTCCGGCAGACTGAGCCAAAAACACTGTCCTCATTTTGGGTGAGCAAAGTTGAAGCGCTGCAGAGCTAACTCGCCTCCTGGGTGAGCCCTGCCGGAATGGGTCCAGGGCTGAGGCCCTCCTAGTCTTCCCCCACCAGGAGCTGGACTGTGTGGAACAGACACTGCTTGGGGGCTGGAGGAGGGAGGAAGGGAGTGAGCGAGGCTCCTGGCTATTTTTGTCTCCAAAGCCAGTCAGTGTCTCAAGCAAGTCTCCGTGTGGGAACGCTGGGCGCAGAAGGGCCATCTCCTGAATTTAGTGCATGTGTGGGCCTGTCACCCTCACACAGAGGAAACTGTCCCCAAAGAGGAAGCTGCCAGATGAACCCCAGCATCTGCCACCTCTTCACTGTCTCCCTGTTCACACAGAGGATGTATTAGCAACTATGCACAGGACTTTGTGCAGGACCCACAGAACCGGTGCCCAGAGCCCCAAACCCTTCCATGGTAAGCAGGCCATTCCCAGCACCTGGAGAAAGGCCCAGGAGCTCCTACCCATGTTCAACGTCACTCAGATGGTACCAGACAAAGCTGAGCTGGTCTGGTTGCTCTGGGCCCAGACCAGGTTGGGAGGTCAGGGGGGCTGATCCTGGGGTGCTGGCCCCAGCTCCCTGCCTGGGGACCTGGGGTGGCCCCCAGCTGTCTCTAGTCAGGGCTTGGGGCCTTACGGCTGAGCCTCTGGGGACTGGGAAATTCAATCCATATGGCCGATTCATTTACACTTAACTCATCAAAAGGCTGTTTTGTAAAGGCCTATTTGATGCTGAAAGATGCCTGGGGGGGGGGGGTCTCTTTCACCTTTTTCAAAGCTGGTTTCTCCTCCCCTAGGGCTCTGGGAATTTGCCCGCCAGCCCGAACCACACAGACAGGGAGGGAGAAGGAGGGAGGCAGGGTTCACCAGACCCCGAGAAATGGCCACAGGTCCAGGGGGTCCTCACCCCGCCTGGTACCCACTCTGTCCATGGGAGGTGCCCAGGGGTGGGGAGGGGGGCTCTGCGCTATGGCTTCCCAGCCCCCATTCCATCTTCCCTCCCCCACCACAGGGTTGGTGGTAGGGAGGTGGTAAGCCCTCCAGGCTCAGAAGGAGACAGTGTGTGTCTGAGGGGTGGGGACTGGGGGGCAGGGAAGGGAAGGGAAGGGGGGGGGTGGGGGGACAGCCCCGCTCAGCTGCCTGAGCAGAAGGTGGCTAGCCCCGTCTAGGCGCTGCCAACAGTGCTCCTCACAGGTTTCTCTTCCTAGGCTTTTAGGGTTGGTCTGCCTCCCGGGAACGGAGGGAGGAGGGCAGGAGCCCCCAGCCCAGCTTTGCCACACTTGAAACCGTCTGAGAATGGCCAGGTCTTCGCTTCCTTGGGTGAAGTCAGGGCCAAATCCTGAGGCTACCGAAGAAGGCCATGTAGCGAGCGGGACACAGCCCAGGGCTCTGGGACGGACCTCTATCGGTTAGAGCCATGTGCGCTCGGGCACCAAGCGGGCCCCTCGGGATCCCATGTGCTGGGGCTCAGGGGTCCCAGCTCGTGGCCCGCCTCTGCCCCTTCGTGCCCGGCCCTCCTCTCCCCAAGGTGCAGAGGGAGGGCGGAGCTGGGCGCTCACCACCATGTTGTTGATAGACACCCAGCAGTCGTCGGGGAAGTCCTGCAGCATGGGCACCAAGAACTGCAGGCAGCCGTCCCAGTGGCAGAGCAGGAGCATCATGCCGATGAGGTTCACTATGCGCACCACGGCACTCGCCAGGTCGTAGGTCATGTGGAAGATCTGTAGGCAGAGGGAAGGAAACTGGCCTAGGTGGGCAGCTGGCTGGGAGAGGGCGTGGCCCCTGTGGCTGCTGGTGGGCACTGCCCCCCCCCCGGGGACTTGGCAGAGCAGCCGGCCTGGTGCAGGTGCAGGCGGGGGCAAGGGTGGGGAGGTGGCGGGAAGGTGGCCTGGAAGAGGCACAGAGCAAGCTGTGGGGCCCCAGAGGGACGCCTCCTGGGATTCATGCAGATGTGGGTTCTCCCCTGGGGAAGTCCAGCCCTCCAGGCCGGATACCTGAAGGGAGGGCACCTGGAGCCCCCCGCAACCCCAGAGTGGGCAGAGAAGCTGCCTCATCAGCTTGCCTAGGCTGTGAAGACAACGGGAGAAGAGCCAGCCAGCGTGAGGCTCCTCAGGGGACCACGGTCTATCGTCATGCTAGGGCCATGGTGTTTCCCCAGCTCTGCCACTAGACACGGAGGACCTAGCAGCGGCAGTGGCTCTGCTTAAGGCAGCCACGGAGCCGAAGGGGAAGCAGCATGGACACAGGGGCTCCCAGTTCACACAGACCTTGATCCCAGGCCCACTTCTACCCAAACCCCAGCTGTGCGACCTTGAGCAAGTCCCTGAACCTCTCTGATTATGTTTCCTCATCTGGAAAATGGCAATAAAAATTCTTACCTGAGTGGACTGTCAAAGGGATTAAATTATACATATAAAGTGCTCACTACTATGGAAGTGTTCCACAAATTACGAACCATTATTAATTGATGGGTTGTTGTTAATAATTAATCTTTATGATTAGTTAATATGTAGTAGTAGTCATGCTCTCCTGTATCGCTTAATAAAGTACAGCCCTTCCAACCCCAGCCCAGCACCACCCATGCACCCCCACTCCTGTGGCTCCTAGTGGGAGGCTGAAGCCTGGCGGGGCAGGGCCAGGGTGGGCACATCCCAGCATCCCTGCCCCCCGCCACCCTCCTCCCAGAGCTGCTGCTTGGTCTGGTATCATCAGGGATCCCCATGCTGATGGGACAATGAAGGGACAGAGAGCTGGAAGGAAGTCTAGAGGGAGGTCTCTAGAAGCTCTGGTCTTGCCCTTGGCCTGGGAGACTCTGGGGTGGGATGGGGTAGACTTTGGTGGCTGGTGGTGGGATATTCTTTTTTTTTTTTTTAAGATGTTTTTATTTATTTGACAGAGAGAGCGCAAGCAGAGGGAGAGAAAGGAAGAAGCAGGCTCCCTGCTGAGCAAGGAGCCTGATGTGGGACTCGATCCCAGGACCCTGGGATCATGACCTGGGCTGAAGGCAGCCGCTTAACCGACTGAGCCACCCAGGTGTCCCTGGTGGCGGGATATTCTGATACTAGTGACTTGGTTTCCCCTTCTGAAATGTGGGCTTAGTTTGGGGCTAGGTTCTGAAAAGCCAAACATGAATACTACTTGTCGATCACCCCCAGGGGCGCGCCCACCTGCGGCCCCCTTACTAGCACGACTGCATGTTCCAGCCGAAAGGCGGTGGAGTCTTTTCAGGATGAAGCAGACCCTGGAGAGGTTCATGGAAGATGGTGCTCCATCACCCCCACGGCCCCCGTGACAGAGGGACAATAACACCGCATCTGAGTGTGGGCACGTGGGCCCACAGCCGTAGTCCCATTTAAACTCACAACAAGCCTTTGCTAAAAATATTCATAATCCATTTTCCACCAAGGCTTGGAGAAGGAAAGGCACTGGCCACTGTCATGGTGGCAGTGGGAAAGGCACGTCCGAGCCTGCAGATTATCAGACTGGCCCAGTGAGGGAAGGACAGTTTTCAGGAGTTCTGTCTTGCAGATGGAACAACTCAAACCCAAAGTGGCTGAGCGATGTGGCTGGATTCACACGGCAAGGGGACCCAGGGCCAGCCCGAACTCCCCAGCATCTCGCCTCCATAAGCCCTGCGCTGCGAGCGTGTGGGCTTCCCGCCGAACTGCTGCATCAGTGTAAGGGCGGGGGGCACAAGAGACCAGGCAGGGCAGTACGGGCCCGGGGCCCGCGTCTAGGAGGCAGAGCACGCCTGAGCATGACAGCAGTGCCTCCGTCTGTCCGTCCACAGCCGGCCTTGCCCTGGAGCCTGGATCCCAAGCCCAGGAAGCTCCTCAGCCTCTCCCCACCATCCCCAGCAGCTCCTGAGTACCAGCACCCCAACTGCGGCTCTGAGGGGAGATCTCACTTCTGGCTCCTCACTGCTTAGGTGGACATCACAGCTCTATGACCTTGGGCAAGTCACTAACCTTCCCAAGTCTCGGTTGACCAGGAGGCCGCCAGCTCCCCAGACTCAGAGGATGGGGAAGGCAAGTGATGTGGGACCATCCAGTCTCAGAGATGGCCAGCCCTCACGTCCTACCACATCTCAGCCTCCCCTCAGCTAAGACAAGCTAGACATCTGCCCCCCATTTCTCGAGGTTGCTGGAGAAATTAAACTGGCTAAAATAGTCCTCTGGGCCCCAAACACATGGGCAGGGTCACTATTACAAAGCTCCCTCATTTCCCAGCTGCTATGGACTGAATGTTTGTGTCCCCCCAAATTCATATGTTGAAGCCCGAACCCCCATGGTGATGGCATTAGGCGTTGGGGCCTTTAGGGGGTGATGAGGTCATGAGGGGTGGAGCCCCCATGAATGGGGTCTGTGCCCGAAGAAGAGACACAAGGAGGATCTCTCTCTGCCATGTGAGGGCAGAGCAAGAAGGTGGCCATCCACAAACGAGGACGAGGGCCTCAGGCAGAAGCCGACCGTGCCGGCACCCCGATTTGTCCTCCCAGCCTCCAGAACTGCGAGAAATAAACGTTTGTTTTTTAAGCCCCCAGGTCTGCCGTATTCTGTTCTAATAGCCCAAGCTGGACAGCGCTTATAGTGTCTAGGATGGAGAGTACCATGCGGTATGCTACTCTACAGTACAGAAGTGTATGTTACAGTACTAGAGCTGCAGGTAGCCTCAGACCCCTTTTAGAAGGCATCCCAGCCTGGGACAGCTCACGGAGACCGCCCCTCTGCATGAATCACTCCAGGCCTTAGAAACAGAGGTATCCGGGTTGGTATATTTTTATGCAATACCTGCTTTTCTTTGGGTATTGCCTATGTTTTTTGTTCCTTCGTAGCTCATCTTCCTCCAGGATCAGGTCCTTGTCTAGTTTTGCCTTTATCATGACCTCAGCAATGAATGGGGCAGAGCATGTGCTAGGGGCTCAGGAACTGTGAAGTGCTTCGTGACAGAGGGAAAGGGGAAGGTGACGATGGCCGGGATGGGGATGATGCAGATCAGGGCCGCCACGAGTGTACATGGTGGCATTTGGAAAAGGCCCCACTCTAGGCAGGCGCAGCCAACAGGGACTCTGCCTCTGCCTTCGTGGGAAGAAAAAGGTGACTCTTCCTACAGGTGGGCACAGACTCATGAGTCCTGCAGAGCATGGTGGTGGTGGTGGTGCCCGGTGCTGGGCTGAAGAAGCAGGCGGATGCTGGAAGGGGGCCCGGTGGAGGTGGGGAGGGGTGGGAGGGTGGGAGTTTTTGGTGGTGGGGAGGGGTGCTGTGGCTGGCAAAGCCAAAGGCACCGACATGGTGAAATACGAACTTCCTGCCAAGAGCTGGTGGGGGTGGGGCACATCCATCCAGGCTCGGCGGTACCCCAGGTGGTGAGGACATGCACCCCAGCCCGAACGCTACGGCACCCCGGTATGGTTGCTGAGAGTAAAGCTGGTCGTTGCCGGGAGAGACAGCTAAACACTTGTGTGTCCCCGCTGTGGGCAGGGGCCGCAGGCCGCCTGCAAGTCAGCTGCACTGCACAAATATTTATCTTGCTCTTTATACTCATTAAAAGCCCCTTTTATGATGTTGGTTCTGACTGTGGGGGTTGAGTACCTTCATTTCCAGCCCCGTAAGGCTCGCTGGGCGGGCAGCCTGGGCGCCTCGCTCTCTGTGCCCTGCATGGCCCTCGCTGGGGCGGGGGGCAGGGGGGGCGGTGCTCCACAGCTTCCAGGCCACAGTGCGGAGACAGAGCGACATGTTTTCTACCTCGGCCAGGCATCGTCTCTGCTCTGAGCCTCTTTCCTCATCTGTGTAATGGGTCAATAACTGCCAGCTCCCAGGGCTGTCTTGGGGATCAGGAGAGATGATGTCCACAGCTGGTATACAGTAGGTACTCAATGCATGTTGGTTTCTTTCCTTCCCTCTCTTCCCCAGCCTTCAAACAAAGAGTTCTTTTCTCAGGCCTGGGGAGAGACCAGAAACTGGAGTTTCCACTGAGGCCTCTTCTTGGGGCTGGGTTGAGTTCCCTCCCAGGGAGACTCCTTTTCTCCCCAGGAAAAAAGAACAACTTCTCCCTGTGTCTCAGGGACCAGTGACCACACTGGGGTCAACAATCCCAGGCCTGAGAGGATGGCTGAAGCACGTGTGTCCTGGGGACTGCCTGGAGGCGGCCAAACCGAGGGTCACCCTGGGTCCCTTCCTGGGGCCTACAGAGAGCGCTGAGCCCTACCCCTACGACCACTCCTCGATTCTGAAAGAGATAGAAAAATCGAGGCCTGTGGGGGAGGAGACTCATCAGGAGGCTCGGCCGCGGCCCAGCCTCCTGCCTCCAGGCTTCCTGCCATGGCTCCTGGCTGCCGAGGGAAAGAGGATGCTGGGATGGGTCGCTGGGGTGCTGGGCCTGCAGGGGAACATCGGGGGTGGGGGGGGCGGACCACTGTTTCTAACAATAGCCTTCATGCCTGTAACAAGCTAACACCTCAGAGGGAGGGAAGAGGCTTGGCTGGGAGAGGCTGGGGAGGATGCTGACCTAGATCGCCTGTGATGGAGGCAGAGGCTGACGTCCTCTGAGAGGGTGGCCTACACCTGCCGAGACCCTCCACCTCCCCTGACTCCCAAGACCTGCTAGTAACACTTGCGGACTCTCTGACAGGGGTGCTGCACTGGGCCGGGCAAGGCAGCTGAAGCCTTGGGGGTCGGCAGTCTGGCCTCCCCGCAGCTTCACCTGCTTCTTCACAGGTGGCTGACTTTCTAGCCCCCACCCAGGGCCATGACAGTGTCCTCAGGGTCAGCTCACATCATTCTTGCCAGGGGAGGCTGGAGCGGGGACCAAGCCCCAATCCCCTAGAACATCGGAGCCCACCTGACAGTCGGGAAAACTGAGGCCCCCCAAAGGGAAGAGATTCACATAGGGAGTTAGAGGAAGAGAAACAGCAGGGTTTTCTCTACTGAATACCTCTCTTCCGTTGTCTCCTGTAGACCTGGGACTTCCAGGGTGTCCCTGCTCTTTGCCCCTCCAGGCCAAGCTGAGGCGAGAAGCCCCAGGGCTAGGGCAGGCTGTAGAAGATGTGGAGACAGGGTACCTGGGGCCAGTTGGGAAAGCCCAGTCCCATCCCAGGGTCCAGTGGGAGCCCTTGGCTGGGCGGTGTGCCCACAGAAGCCAACTCAAAGCAATTTCCTCCCTAGCTGGTAGACCAGATAAGGGTGTGTGTGGAGGGGGTGGGAGTCATCTATTTGGTCTCCTAGGGTCTGCCTCCCTGCCCAGGAGACTGAGTACCCATGTTCAGTTCAGAGCCCTGACCTGAGGCCTCCTGGGGCCTCTGTCTACCCCAGGGAAAGGCCAGGGTGAGAGCCTGCCTGACCAGTTCTGGGTAGCCCAGAGGGTAGCCAGGCCAGAGAGGCAGTGGAGACAGAAGCTCTGGACTGAGCTCCCAGCATGTATGGTGCAGGGACAGTAACAGAAGCACTTAGTTTCTATTCCAGGGCTCACTCTGCAGAGTCATGGGCAAGTGTGCCAAATTCTCCCCAAATACTATGGCCCCAGGGACCAGGCATCAGGAAGCAGCAAGGGTTGTTCCAAGGGGGCAGGGGTCTGGAGACTTGAAGCAATGCTGGAGACTTGTCTGCTTTTAATGATAGTCTAGCTGCAAGTTCAAGATAAACGGAAGGCTAGGGGGGTCTTCGGGACTGAGGGAGCCAACATGGTCCAGAAGTCTGCCCGGAGGTCTCTAGGGTCCACCCTCCGGACCATGGTATTTCTACTTGGGACAGAAACCAAGAGACAAGCCTGTGAGGGCGTTCCAGGAAATCTGCCTCTGTTCTTCCTCTGCAGCCGCTCAGAGGGGCCCCAGCCCCCCACCCCCACCCCAACACTCTCCATGCCTGAATGTCCCATAGGTACCTCAAACCCAACCCATCACATAGAACTCCTTACCCCACCCCTCGACCTGCTCGGCTGCCCGCCTTCCCAATCTCAGCTGGGCATCATCCCTAACAGAGGGACAGACGACAGAATCAAAGTCATCCTGCTTTCAGGCCACCTAAGAATGCAGGAACCCAGAGTCAGGAGGCCCAGTTCCAACATCCTACCACTGGGCCTGCCCGACCTTCTGACCCTATTCCTCATGGACAAACAGGAATGATCAATCCCGCCTGCTTTACCTTGCCACTAGGTGTGAGGAGCCAATAAAATAAAGAGTAAAAAATATTTGGGGGTGCCTGGGTGGTGCAGCCGGTTAAGCATCCGACTCTCGGTTTCGGCTCAGGTGGTGATCTCAGGGTCGTGAGTTCGAGCCCCAGATCAGGCTCTGCACTCAGCGTGGGGTCTGCCTGAGATTCTCCCTGAGGGGATTCTGCCCCTCCCACTTGTGCTCTCTCTTTCTCTCAAATAAATAAATAAATCTTTCAGAAAAAAAAGTATTTGAGAAAAGTAACACCCCCCCCCCAAGAGGTATAGAGGGTTACTCAGACAAATGACCGGCAAGGGGCATTTATCAAACCATCCACCAGGCTTCCTGCTAAGTGTCTTATAAACATCATCTTATATAAACATCATCTCACAACAATCCAGTGAGGATGATACCCACTCTGCAGATAAGAGACTGAGGCTCAGGGAGGCAAGGTGGCACCCAGGTCACAGAGCCAGGCAGTGTGGAGCCAGGATTTTAATTGGGATCTCACGTGTGTATCCTAGCTTAAGCCCCCGGGGCTTCCAGTGCACCAGGCAGGGACCCCTCATTGCTGCGAGTCCAGAGAGCTAACTGGGCTCTGCTCCAGCTCCACCACAGGCCTGCTGCCCGCATGACCTTGGGCAAGTCATGGCCCCTCTTCTGTCAGCAGGAATAATGCAAATTCTCCTAGGCAAAGAGAATTTCTGCCATGGAGTGATGCTGCCGGGCTGGCATAGGCACTTCTGCAGCACAGGTCTTTGTGATACCTCTGACCCCAATCTGCCAGCGCCCCGACCATCAGCCGTGTGTGCCACTGCTGGGGCCCAGGCTGCCGCTGGGGTGGGGTGGGGGCTTTGTGTCCTGAGCATGGGAACTTCCATCCAACCAACCAAGCAGAGGGGTCCTGGGGACCAGAAGACCGGCAGTGAGCCGTGGCAAGAAACGTGCCTCTGCAGAAGCTTCCCCGGGCTCCGGCCTGCTCTGGATCCCAACGTGGGCGGCCTCACAGAGCACACCTACCCTCCACGCTGGCACCTGCAGGCCAGCCTGCCTGCCGCCGCGGCTGAAAGGCGTTAAGTTGTATGGTGGCAGACAGAGACAGAAGCGCTTGCACGGTCACCTGCCTTTTTCCAAACTGCAGCTCACAGTCCTCCTCTCTTCCTCCCACAGATGACAGCATTCAGCCCGTGGCTGAGTTAGTTTTGCTCAGAACGGTGTTGGCCCACCCAGTTCTTTTACAATTTTTTATGTAGTTTCTGGAGCCAGTGTTCTGCCCACAGCCCCTAGGATCCCTTTACAGTTCGCACGCGCACAACTCCAGGCTCCTGGGATGCTTTTCACTCACTACAGCTAGCCCCTGGGGCTGTTTGTCAGAGACCCACCCCAGGCTGCTGGAAGATGCTTTGCCTGCTAGCACCGAGGGCGGGGAGTGCCCTGAACCGAGGACTGCCAAGCAAGGGGATATAAAATTTCCAACTCTTTGCCCGAGGTGTGAGGTACACTGTCCCCAGAGCTCCCCACGGCACTTTGCTTGGTGTCACCCTTATTTGGCTTCCTTCCTTCCATCCCCTGTCCCTCTTCCCCATTCCCTTACCATATTATTCCTGGAAACATTCCCCACCTCAGCCCCGCTGGGGATAAAAAGCTACTTTCAGGCAAATCCTCACCTCAGGTTCTGCTCCGGAAGAACCCCCAGGACACCTGAGATAGTTGCCAACAAAATTGGCACAAAAACCCATATTTCTGCTTCTCATGATCAATCTGTAGATCTCGCAACCTGGGCCTATTCTCACTTGGCAACAAGTGGCTACAGTGGAGTAGAGGCAGACGGAAGATGTATTCTTCAGTTTTCCCCAGTCCACCACACTCCCTACTGCCTCCCACTGGCCCTTTTCACCCATTCACATTCCCTGCCTGGCCCCTCAAGGCTCATGAGTTTGCCTTCCAAACAATATAGTCCAGTGGTTAACAGTGCAGGCTCTCAGTCCAGGTTCACCAATTACTGATTCTGTGACCTCATATAAATCCCTTTCTGTCTCTTGGTTTCCTTAAGTAAAACATGAGTACCACTACAGTTGTTAGAGACTTACATGGGATACTGACTGTAAAGTGATGTTCATAGTATCTAGCACCTAAGAAGTCAAGAAATTACTACGATTTGTCCTCTTGGAGAAGATGTGCCTGCTACCATCTGACAGCCCAAATCCAACGATCTGAGATTAGCTGCTGGCCCCCCACTCCCCCTGTGGGGAAAAATACCCCTTCCCCCAAGAGGTTTGGGTCTGGCCACTCACCTCTTCCCACTGGTGAATGTATCGAATGAGGCGGGAGAGACGCAAGAGGCGCAGGAGGCTGAGGATCTTGGTAAAGCGGACGATGCGCAAGGCCCGGGCGGTCTTGTAGACCTCTGAGTCAATGCGTGTCTCTACGATGAGGAAAATGTAGTCCACAGGGATAGAGGAGATGAAATCCACCACAAACCAGCTTTTGAGGTACTTCATCTTAATCCGCTGTGGGTCCAGGATGATCTCGGTGTTGTCCTCCACCACGATCCCTGTGCGGAAGTTGAGGACCAAGTCGATGAGGAAGAATGTGTCCGACACCACATTGAAGACGATCCAGGGTGTGGTGTTCTCATCCTTGAAGAAGGTGATGCCCACGGGAATGATGATTAGGTTTCCGACCATCAGCAGCAGCATGGTCAGGTCCCAGTAAAATCTGCCCAGAGACACAGGGGTCAGTTGCCAGGAGGACAGAGAGAATGAGTTACAGACTATGAGAGAAGACTCCAAGGGAGAGCACGGGCGGAAGAGGGAAGTCTTGGGAGGTTCTGAGTCACTGCGTGAGATAGGCACACGGGTACCATGGGCAAGATATGGAGATTGGCACCGAAAGGCTCTCTTTTCCCTAAGGATACCCTCTGCCTGTCCCTCTGTCTGCTCCCCAGTGACAGGCCTCCCACTCCCATCCCCGCTCCCCAGCAGGAGTCAGGCTGAAATGCAAACCAAACAATGATGTCCAGAGAGAAGTGTGAAGTTGTTTTAGCAGCAGGAGTAGTTCGCCCCACAACACCCCAGGCTCAGGCCAAGCTGCTCCATCCTCCCTGAGGGTCAGCTATGGCCTGAGACAGGCTGGTGGGCAGATGTGCTACAGACCATGACCAGAGAGCAGGGTAGGTCCAGACACATGGCGGGTACCTGGGTGGGAGGAGGCCTGGATACAGCCCCAGCTCTGTCACTGACATGCTGTGTGATGTTAAGCAGGTGCCCTCCCTGCTCTGGGCCTCAGTTTCCTCACTGTGCAATAAGGGGTGGGGCCTAAACACTCCATCCCATAATTGTGATCTGGCCCTCACCCACACTGGCTTTCTGGGGTCCCCCTTTAGTCTATCCCCTATAGTCAGAAAATGCTTGTCCATCTCTCTCCCCCAGAGGTTTGCATTCTAACACAGGGTTGGGGAAGGACAGTGAAATCTTCAAGGGCAGGAAGCGTTAATGAGGGGATTTCAGGCACTTGTGAGGTGTCCCTCAATGCAGTGGAGTGAGATCAGTGGGGGCTTACACTATCATTTCTCCTAAGGTGTCAAAGCAACTGCAAGTGCTTCCTGAGGGAGATGGAAAGGGCCCCTCAAGGGCGAAGCCACCTGGCCTAGCAGGGGCCCCTCTGGAGTGTGCAAGACAGCACAGGCAGGCACAGACCCCATGTCTAGAAGGTATGACCAATCAATCCCAGGGACCCTGCCTGAGTACCAGCCACCCTGGGGCTGGCCCAAAGATCTAAAACCTGCACTGCACAGCTATTTCCCTTTGCTATTAATTTAAAGAGTTACACAATGACAGATAAAGGTATTAAGTCAGGCAGAAATAAGCATGTCCTCTCCCAAGAGAAATAACCTTTCAGCCATCTTTAATTCTTGACTGTAAGAAAGCTAGGAGGGAGGAAAGAGACAAAAAGACAAGCTTCCCTCGAGTCTTCAGAGGGTCCCATTCCAAAACCAAAGTGTTCCTGCCAGAAGAGTTCCAGGTTTGAAAAATAAATATTACTTCACAGCAAATTGCTTTCTTTGCCAGATTCAAAATGGCGCTATGAGTCAAAGAGAACAGGATCTGCCTCACTGAAGGTGGACGAGACAGCTGTCCCACATGACACAACTCAGGGAAGGGCAGCTTCCAGAAGGGCAGCTTTGGACAGCTCCTTTAAAAGCCAAGCTGTTCAGGGCCTCAAGACAGGACCTCAAGTCAGAGCCTCTCAGGCTAAAACCTCATTCTCAGGCTGGTACTAAGAGGTCAACTTCAGCTCCTTCCCTGCCCTACAACCCACCACCCTTTCTCCAGCCCCAATCCCCCTATGCCATCTGGGAGAACCCAACCTAAGATCCAAGTACCCACCCCAGCCATCACACCCACCACACAGAAGACAGCACATCCTGCTAATGACGCGTGAGCCCCAGAAGAATGGTTTCAGCTTCTATGGGATGTTCCTGAGCTGTGTACACTCTCTACACAGCCTCATGCATGTCATTCAAAGACAGCTGCAGACACACATTAGAAGCCACAAACAGGTATCCCCATTCACACAGTGTGCAAACACCCCTATATACACATGGTCACCATTCCCTTTCATTTCATCTCTTGGGAAAAAAACAAAACACAACTGGCATTGAGAGGCTACTGAGGGCCCCATGGCCCTCTGCACATAAAGCTAATAATACACCCAGGCTAGAGGAGTTTCTAAAATTAACAGAGCGGGAGCAAGGCGGCTGGGAATGCTGACTTGGGTAGGCCTGCCACTCCAGCGGGTTTCTACACTTTCCCCAGCTCTAGTTCTCTCAATTACAGACCAAATTTGAGACAGTAATTAACAGGAGAATGTTTGCATTTAGTGGTCTTCATAAAACCAAATTACACGAGGCAAAAACAACCATTTCCTGGCATTCTGACTAATTATTTCAATCATGAGTTTCCAGATGCTAAGGGATATTTCTGGTGCCTGATCCAGGCTGGGGTCGGAATGCTGGAGCATTCCTCCCCACAAACCACTATCCTGGAGCATCACAGAGCTAACCAAAAGGCAGCATAATATGGTGGGAAGAGAGGCTTTCAGAGCCAGCCATCCTGGGTTCAATTCTTGGTTCCATCATTTACTAGCAAGTCACTTAATCTCTCCATGCCTCAGTTTCCTTGTCTGCTCACTGAGAATAATAATGGTACCTAACTCAGAGTGATAAGAATGACATGAATTGATATTTGCAAAATGCTCTGACTTATACCTACCTATATTACTAAATGAGTCAGTAAGGAACTCAAGTCAACAAATTCACAGGAAAGAGACAAGGGAGGAAGATGAAATCTTCCAGGGGAGAGTCAAAGCAAAACATCTACTGGGGGTGGGGGTGGAAAGGAGCTTATAATGGTTCTGGGAGAGTCCGGTGGTGGAAGTCAAGGACCACAACATTCTGTGAACAGTCAGGCAACAGAACCAGTCTACCTTGGCAGACAGATGACCTGACCTCAGGGAGCTCATGGTCTAGTCAGAATACAAGGCTTAGACAGAAGACAAGTCAGGCAATGATGGAAGAAACCATCCCAGGCAACAGCCCAGGCATGGCTTCCGGTGGCCCAGAAGGGTGAGGCGAGAAAGTGCTCCTGGAGGACCTGGGCTTTGGGAGCTGCCCTTGGCCTTGGAGACTACCTCTCTCCTTACTTTTGCACGCAGGTTGCACAGATTCCCAAAAGCAGGGCCAGTTGAGAGCGGGGAGGGAGAAGGGAAGGGAAGGCGTTCAGCACCACGGACAGCTCCTGGCACCTGCCAGCCCTCCTTGTTCAGCTCTTCTAGCCAGGGGAAGTTGGCAACAGCCTCCCCACTGCATCTTCTGCTCCTGGGTCCCTCTTCTCGCCAAGCCCAGTGATCAGAAGCATCTCAAGTGATTCCTTAATGTCCTGTGCTTTTTTAAGGGGCTCCTTGGTGACTGAATTCATAAAGACTCCAAAACATTTCACATGTATCAAGCACTTAACTTTGTGTTTCCCATGCATTATTTCATTTAATCCTCACACCAGCACTGAGGTGGCTGCTAACATCTGTATTTTGCAGATGATGACACTGAGACTCAGAGAGAAGTATCTGCCCAAGATCACACAGCTAGTGAGGGACAGAATGAGATTCTGAGAGGTCTGGGGGGACTTAAGAGCCTGGCTGCTTAGGATTTTAGGCACCTCGGTGGGATGTAGGGAGGGAGACCAGCCTTCTTGACACCTCTACGTCACACGGGGAGGTAGCCTATCACACCGGGTGTAGACAAGAGAGGAGAGAGAGATGGGGCCAGATGGTGACTACCCTTATAGTGGTAAGCACTATACATTATTTAATGTATAGAATTGTTCAATCATTATGAAATTGCACCTGAAAGTGATATAACATTGTATGTCACCTCTACTTCAATAATAAAATTTTAAAAAGAGAGAAGAGAGAGTTGTGAAGAGGTTTGGAGGGATCCCATCCTTCTGGTGTACTTCCTGGCTGGGGGAAGTAGCACAACTTTCAAATATTAAAAGCATCCTGGTCACCCTGGTCAATCGGGCACAGTTGTGCTATCCTGTAAGAGGGGTCTGTGGAGGAGGGAACAGTAACATTTCCACAACCTCAAGCTGGATGCCCCATATTCCCCCAGCACCTCACTGGCCCTAGAATCATTCATGGCTAGCTCTCACAATCCAGGGTATGCATCTGTGGTGGAGGGTGGCAGGCCCTGGCAGGGAAGCGAGGGACAGCCAGACTCAGACATGCTGGAGTTGGCGCATGCCTGAATTAGGGGCCTTGTTCTCTCCAAAGCCAGATGACCCGCCCCTGTCCCAGTGTTCTCTAAGCTAAAGGGAAGACACCTCACCCCAGTTTCAGCCCCAGGACCCCAGGCCTGTCCTCCCTTAATCCTGGACCTCTCTTCCTACCTGGCCATCCAAGCAGGCAGGTGGCCTCTCAGCAAGTGGGCGTGGCCTACAGGGCAGCTTCGGAGGAGCAGGTCTCATGTGCAGAAAAAACGGAGGATGGCAAAAAGCCAAGCAGCCCTTTTACACGGACACCTGGAACATTCCATGGTTTGGTCTGAGAGGAAGGTTATGGCTGAGGGAGCTCAAAGGAGCTGAGGAAAGAGAAGATAGGAGGCTCCTGACCCTGAACTCAGAGACTCAAGGACAAGACCAAGGGCACTCTCCTTCCCCAGAGGCTGAAGAGGAGTGAAGGGTAATAAAATGGGGGCAGGAGAAGTGGAAGTCAGAAGAGGGATGGCCTCCTTCAACCTCGTCTTGTCCATACACAGCCGTGCTTGCCTTTGAGCGCATATGCTCACACACACACACACACACACACACACACACACACACTCAAAGGCACACACACACACCCATAATACAGTTTTGTACACTCTCATCTATGCACTCCTGCTAATTTTTGCTCCCGTACGCACATGCATATTTTCTTGCACACATTTTGACACAAATGACATCCACTGGGAATCCTGCCGGCTAGAAGAGAGGGTTGGCTTTTGGCCCATTCCATTTATTTCCATCCTTCAGGATTTATCTGAACTGCTACTTCTTCCAGGCCTCTCCAACCCCTCACTGATGGACCTGGGTCTGGCCTGAGCCCTGGCTTTGGACATCTCAGAACGCTGTGGCTCCCTGAAGGCAGGGGCCTTGTCCCAGACATGGCTGTGCTCCTGC